TGAGTAAATAATCGCCCGCTGCCGGCCATAAACATGGCCCCGGGTACGTGATGTTTACATGAGCCAGCTGGCGTGCCGCGGCGGAGCATTGCACAAAGGCGGCGGTGGTTCTGTCTGCACTGTGCACTGTGCACATGGTCAGTGGCGGATCCAGGGGGGGGGGCAAAATGGGCATTTGCCCCCCCCCCCCAAACGGCATGATTTTAACATTACGCCTATGGACGATGCATGGAAAGAATCGATAAATTGTTATGGTTTGCCCCCCTTAAAACTCTGAGCTGGATCCGCCTCTGCACATGGTTGAGTGACGGGTTAGCGGCTGGCAGCGGTGGCCGTCGGCTAGTCGGCGCAGAGGGTGACCAGTGAGCAGTGCGGCGTTTCACTCCGACACTCACGGCGGAGGGACTGTGGGTGCCGATGATCCAGTGCGGGCTCCTAGAACCCAAACGACATGGCTGAAGGCCATGTAACACCGTTACGTGATCTCGGCCCACTTCCAGGGATGAAGCACATATCCAAAGACAAGATAAGCCGCCTAGTCAGGCAGTACAACACCTTCCTGCTGCCAGCGATTGACTGTTGGATCACCGCAAAAGACCCGTTCTACGCGCCGTTCAATTTTCTCATTCAACAGTGCAATGAGCAGAGAGTTCACACCTTTGCACGCCTCTGGACACGGCCCTGGCAGCAGGCCCTACAACTGGAGAGGGCTAACTGTGAGAGGTGCTCGCCGTTCGGACGCCTTTTCATACAGAGCGGCTCCATCTCTGGAAGTCAGGCCGAACAGCTCACCATTGACGATGTGGATCTAGCTTATGGAAGCTATTCAGACGAGGACTTGATGTACACTCTCGGCCCCGTGCAGTGGGTTTCACCCGACACCGAGGCCGTTGGAACTGAGAAGGTACCTGGAGGTCATGCCGAGACTGCCGACGGCTCGGACATACCCCGGCTGATGCTCGCTCCCACCAGCCACCTGGGCTTCGTCAGGGTGCTGCAGCAGCCCCGGCCCGAGTGTACGCACACAGAGCCCCTGCCGTTCTCGGCCCAAGACGTCCGACAGTACTGCAGTGAGCTGGAGCTGGCTGTGCAGCCGCGAGCAGAGTTGAGCATCCACGGACCGGCCATCTCTTACGTCAAGCCACAGATACACGACGAGCCTCATTTGGCAAGCCCACATTCGAAGTGCGGAGTAGCGCTCGTGGACCGTATACTCTGCCTGCACGTGATCTACTGGCCCTCCGATGAATTCTTCACGAGATGTCGTGAGTCGGGGTGGCTGCCAGAGGCCGCTCTGAGTGACATAAGAGAGTTCGGCCTGCACCTTGTGCCAGTAGGTGCCCCGGGCAGCGCGACGGAACACCTCGAATGGCGCTGGTCCTTCTCCCGGGCTGAAGTGATCACTGTGCTGTACCTCGACCAGATACCAAGGAGTGTGATCAAGACCATGAAGGCATGCAAAAAGTGTGCGAACCTGCCGGGTAAGATGCTCAAGTCTTATCACTTAAAGACAGCTGTCTTTTGGCTATGTCAGGCAGAGGCAGGCCATCCGCGCTGGAGCAGTGTCTCTCAAGGCATCCTTCAAGTCCTCGACTACCTGGAGAAAGCCTACCAGACTAAGGAGCTCAAGTGCTTCTACTGGAAGGACATCAACATCATGGAGCTGATGAACAGGGCCGAAAGAAAGGCATCCCTGAAGACGGTCAGACACATCCGGGATCATATGAAGACTCTGTTGATCCAGAGCAACTGGGATTTATCACAGTTGCTGCTGCAGCAGCCCCAGCCTAGACTTCAAGAGCAAGAAGCTCGTATAGTTCTCATGCGCCGCATGATCACTCACGGTGTGTTTCTGAACACAGCTTTTTGCTTCTGTTTTGCGAAGGCTGGTGGGCTTGATGCACAAATCAAGTTCGCTGCAGTGTCATCACTCCCAGCAGAAGTGTGTTGTATGTTCCGAAGGTACACCTTCGGGTGGCACATGAGAAAATTCCTCCTCCATGCGCTGATGATCGCACCGGAAGAGGTAGTCGAACAGGTGCGACTGACAGAGAACGAGAGCGGTATTTTCGAGTGGGACGCCGCGCCACTGCTGGCACTACTCACTGAAGACGACCTGAAACATCTGCTCTGGGACCCTGCCGCAGTGCGGGCCTGGCTCAAGGACCAGCCCGAGACACAGCCGAGGTCAGCCTGCTGACCTGAGGTCACCACGTGACCGCTGTGACCTGCTGCTCAACACCCCTCTGCTGGTGTCGGTCCTCAAAGCAAGTGTGCCCAACTATCGTCAGCACATGGATGCGTTGGAGGAAATGGGGGTTTCGCATTCGGAGATTTTTCGTCAGTCATTTGAAGATGCGAAGAAGAAGCATCAACAAGACGCCCTGGACTCGTTCTTCAACACCAGCGACCGTTTTCACACCCAGTTAGGTGTGGATAGTGAGCTGGCACAGCGAAGGCACCAGTGCTACATGCACCTCTTCAGTCAGCTCTGTGAAGATCCTGCGGTTCGCACCGAACACAACCGCCTGAGGAACGTGATGCCGGACTCGTGGAGGCTGAGGCCAAGCGTGTTCCGTGGAACTGTGTGAGGGAGGTTCCCAGGCGGCGGCCGTCTGCCTGCCATTCAGGCCCGCCCATTGTTAGGCCGGTCTATTCTTAGTGCAGATAGTCAGCTGAGTGTTATTGTTATGGAGTGCTGATTTTGCCGTTCTCTCGTCCGTGCTGCCCCACTTGACCCCCTAGACTGTTTTGAGAGGTCTGGTTTCGACCAATGGGGTTTTGACGCAGCGCAGTGCGATCATAGGCTCTGGATATCTGCTGCTGATAGGCTGGCGCTACTGTGTCAGTGGGGGGGGGGGGGCGAGGGCAATATTGAACAATATTGGACATGTGGCGTGGCTGGGCTACTTTTTTGATTATGTAGAATTTCGACTAGTTCAGTCCGTGTCGGTGTTGTCTTAGTTGGAACATGGTCGGGCCTCGCCATCTATGTACAGTGTACAGTGTACTTATTGATCATGTCATCCATCACATGAGCCATTTATGCAAATGGACGTTGCTGAAATGTTAGCAATAAATACATGAAGTTATGGTTTATCAGAAAGATGAGTACGAGCAGCGGGATAGCTAGTTTTTTTCCATATGGTAAAGGTATTTTGATTTGAGCGTGAGGGGGGCCATGGTCTAGCTTTGAATGGCTTACATCAAAAGCCGTTAAACGGTTTATTAGTGGTCTTCTCTCTCTGCTCGCCCCATCTCTTCTAAAGTTATTTCCCGCGCCCTCGTTATGCAACTGGCGACGATCACGGCACGAGCCACGTGCCAAATAAGGGTCGTCTAAGTTGTCCCGCTTACAAATCCGCTTATAAATCCGCAATGGCTGGGCGGCATGGTGATGGGTGAGAGCACTTCTCTTTAGTTCAAATGAGCCCTATATTTGCGACAGGGAGGTCAAACACCGCTAAGCAATGACATTTGTATTTGCCTATAGATTGGTACTTACTGCCTTACTTACAGGGTGGGGCACAAAAATTTACCTGTTTGTTTTCAGGCCATAAATCAAAAAGTTTTGGAAATATTTTAGTAAAATTGTGCATGGGGCTCCCATCTGGCTCGTGTATAATTGTCATGGATCGCTTTTATTTTCGTCATTGTTGTTGATGAGCTATGGTGGAGATTACAAAAAGAGCCCAAATTGCGGCGCCGATGCAGGCTGGCCACAGCTTCCAAAGCGTTCCCAAACAGCTCGGTGTAGCCATAAAAACTGTTAACAATATAATGAAATGCCTTAAAGAGACAGGTACAGTGTCGAAGAAGTCCATATCAGACAGAACAAGGCATGTCCGCACCAAAAAGCTGGATAACATCGTGCACACTGCACAAGACGGTGTCTTGAAATCCTTGGCGAAGCATGCGCAAACTGGCAAAGGACCTCGATTTTTCGCCCAGAACGATCAGGAGGATCATAAACGGTAGATGGTACATCCAGTTTGATCCTGTTATCCGGACCAGTTTTGGTCGCCACAACCCTGCTGGTTTCATGGTTCGAGCTGCCGTCGCATCCGAGGGCTCAAAAGAACCCTTGATCTTCATCGAGGCGGGTGTGAAAGTCAACTTACACGTTTATGTCCATCTGCTAGAGGAACATGCTCTGCCTTGGATCGCTCAGTCGTTCCGAGACGGATACGTCGTCGTCCAGGACATTGCGTCGTCTCAGACGGCGAACTTCATTCAACAGTGCATGGTGGAAGACCCACATGCCTGGGTTCTGGGACAAGGACATGTGGCCACCGTCAAGTCCGGGCCTGAGCCCGATGGACTTCACCTTCTGGGCCATCCTGGAGAGGGAGATGTGTGCAACACCACACAGCAGCATGGCCGCTCTGAAGCTGGCCCTCGAGACGGCATGGTCGAATTTCGACGAGGACACCGTGCGGCGCCCGCGCCTCTCCGCAGGGAGAGGTTTCGGGACAGGGGTGAAGACCAAAGGTGGCCATATTGGTTCATAGTCCCGTTGCTGAGATGTGACATGCTACTGAATACGTGTACCAAAAATAAATTGAATATCTTTGTTCGGGACCGAAATATTTTTTTTTTAAATCAAGAGGTAAATCTTTCTGCCACACCCTGTATACATAAGTTGTGAATACTTATGAAAAAATGCATTAGTTATTGTGTTTTGTTTTAGGTGATAGGTATGTGTTTGCCGGACGCCCCCCCCCCCCCCCCCCCGTCATATATCCCCAATGTCCGGAATGTATGGGGACGTGACTGCCATATCTTTACAGGTGGAATATGTTGCAGACATTCCTCCCCTATCTATTGCCAGGTATGATATATCCCTGATGTGCCTTGTGTATTCCCAGGTCACACATGACCTGACGAGATCACCTGACGAGTCCCTTCATGTATTCCCAGGTGGGAGATAATACCCTCTGACGTGTCTCTCATAATTCGCAGATCGAATCCTGACGTGTTCTGTATGTGTGTATTTCCAGGTCAGACATGTACCTCCACGTGGCGGACGGCCGGCAGCAGATTGTACCCACTGGCGAGGTGCTGCGAGCGTTCGACCTCCACTACGACTACATTCAGAGGGAGCATGGCGCGCTCAACGTACAGAAAGTGCAGGTGAGAAGTGGGAGGAGAGAGGAAGGAGGAATAGAGGGGAAGGCAGGGAGGGAGGGAGGGAGATAGACACATAAAGAGGTACACACAGATGGGACTCATGAAAGGATTGAGACTTGAAGCGGGTTTTTACGACGGCAGCTGGCATTGAACTTCGTAAGCCAGAGAGGAATATGCGGTAATTGTGGGATGTAGGGTAACTTAACTACGTTTGATGATGTCCAATACATTACTGGTATCTTATTGTTCTGTCTGAATCTCCGTTGATGTCCGTTTCCCTGGGGTCGATTGCTTTAGCCTGCTTAACCCAGAATTAGGGACAAGTAAAGCCCAGTCGATTACCTTAACCTGCTAAGCCGAGAATAGTGACAAGTAAAGTCCAGTTGAACCCCTCTGACGCGCGCACGTCTCTCTCGTCAGGCGGCTGACGCGGCGCCCACCTCTCACGAGACGAATCAGACGCTGGTGACGCTGGTGGCACTACTGCTGGTGCTGGTGATCGGCCTGGTGACATTCTGCGCCGTCTGCTGCTGTCTAAAAACCGTGCCGGTCGCCGTGCCCTCCTACAAGGAGCAGGTGAGGTGGTGGTGGCGTCTGGTAAATTTGGAGGTCAAATGTCGAGTTTGTTGGTGAGAACAAGATCAAGTTTGTGAAGATTTGGGCCTGTTCTTGTTATGCTGACTAATATTTGAGCAACGTAATGCGATATTTGATTGCAACTGAGCACCAAATTATCGTTTTATTTTAATGATTATCGGGTCCATAGAGGTGATGCGTATTAGATATGCAGATCCGTCAAGACAATATTTATCTTGTTATTCATCGTATTCAGTCTGATATCATCATCCGCGCTCCTCTACCTCTGTTCTACTGTGCCCCTGACCTCGCCTGCCGTCTGTCGCCAGGTGAAGCAGCCGCCGCAGCCGCCCACTCCGCGGGCCTCTGTGGATCAGCCCGAAACACCGCCTGGCACCGAGAACCCTCTCTGGATCGGAAACAAACTCAAAGTAACGGAGCTCAGGACTGTGATTATTTGTACCGTTTGATTTACAGTATGAAGATAGCTAGGCCTCGAAGAGAGTAGGATCAAGACTGTCTGGTGGATGAATAATTATGCTTACAGAAATATATTCAGCGACCGTGATTCACACGAATGAGTGTTATGCAATTTTACAATATTCACGTGTGATAATTACTCAGGTGAATAATTATAAATGGTTAATGTTTGATTGCGGTAGTATTAAATATTATCAGTCACAGGTGAGGCACAACTAGCGTAAGTCATCTGAGCAATTTGTGGCCTTCATGTCACAAATCTGTGCCGACACATGTCTTCTAACCTCTTCCTTTGGCCCGTGTCTCCGTCTCCTTCAGATGTACGAGGAGCAGGAGCTGAGCATGCAAGTGTCCGGTGATCCTGAGGCGGCCGGAGGAGTGGAGGACACCCTCTCCTCAGGAGGAGGGTCAGAATACCTACGCCACCATCCAGCGGCCCGGCGAGCCGGCCGAACATAGTCCCAACGGAGATACAGGTAAGGGAATATTGTCCCAACGGAGATACAGTTAGCGGATATAGTCCCAACGGAGATACAGGTAACAGCGCATAGTCCCAACGTAGATACAGGTAACAGCGTATAGTCCCAACGGAGATACAGGTAACAGCGCATAGTCCCAAAGGAGATATAGGTAATGGAACATAGTCCGACGGAGATACAGGTAAACGGAATATAGTCCCGAACGTAAACATAGTCCCAACGGAGATACAGGTAACAGCGTATAGTCCCAACGGAGATACAGGTAACAGCGCATAGTCCCAACGGAGATACAGGTAACAGCGCATAGTCCCAACGGAGATACAGGTAACGGAACATAGTCCCAACGGAGATACCGGTAACAGCGCATAGTCCCAACGGAGATACAGGTAACAGCGCATAGTCCCAACGGAGATACAGGTAACGGAATATAGTCCCGAACAGATACTGTAAACATAGTCCCAACGGAGATACAGGTAACAGCGTATAGTCCCAACGGAGATACAGGTAACAGCGCATAGTCCCAACGGAGATACAGGTAACGGAACATAGTCCCAACGGAGATACCGGTAACAGCGCATAGTCCCAACGGAGATACAGGTAACAGCCATAGTCCCAACGGAGATACAGGTAACAGCGCATAGTCCCAACGGAGATACAGGTAACAGCGCATAGTCCCAACGGAGACACAGGTAACACGTATATTTATTTATTTATTATTTATTTATTTCACATTACAGACATGTCCGTGGAAACACGGCTATTCTATGTCCAAGTCGTTGTGCATATACAAATCGAATGGGATATGACAACAGTCACCGCAATCATTCACACATTCACCCTCATCACGTGTGCTAACTAGGACAGCTAAGTGGCTCGCTCGCGGTCAAACAAATGCTCCCTCAGTGCCGGCTTGAATCGAGCCTGACTAAGAGCGCGCAGGTCCGCCGGCAGCTCGTTGTACCCTGACACCGCAGAGTACAGAAAACGGCGACGTCCGGACTCTGACCTGACCGTGGGGGTCACAAGCATGTCATTGTACCAGGTATCCCGCCCGTTTACAGGTATAGTTACAGGTACACACAGGTACAGCGTATAGTCCCGAACAGATACTGTAAACATAGTCCAACGAAGATACAGGTAACAGTGATTAGTCCCAAC